CCCCCCCCCCTTCTCCTTTGTCCCTCGAGGGATGCCGCACCGTACCATCCGGTCTTTGGGGTGGCAATTGACCGAATTGTCGGTGCTCCTTCCGTTTCAAGGCTCTGCTGGCTGCGGTGCGCCCGTTCGCGCGTTCGCCTGTCAGGTGATGGTTTCGTGGTCCCATCCCAGCCGATGCTGGCGGGAGTGGCCTGCACTTGGTGGAACCTGCTGGCCCGGAAAGAGATGCGGCGACGATCGCGGAAACGCTCCGCCTGATGCTGACATCGCACTCAGAGTTCCGATCGCGCGCGCTCCTTGCCACCTTAGATTCAGCGCGCACTGTTGAATCACTCCAAAACCTTTCATCCCGAGACGTGAAAGGCATTTACAGTAGAGCAACTCCATAAAGGTTTGCAATAGCAGAGACAAGCAAGACAGAGCATGAAGTAGACAGTGACAGCAACTTAATACCGGAATGAGACATTCTTTTGACCTTCCCGCTTCAAAATACAAAGCAAACGCAAAAGTAAAATCGGCGCAGGGTTGTCTTTCATCTCGTACCCTTATTTCTGACTTCCGTTTCAGTTCTTCTTCCGCTACACCAAAGACGTTTCCATAGAACTTTTATGAAGCTGGCCAAGGCCAAATCTAATTTGATAGGTTCTCCGCGCTACTTTTGCAGGCCCTGATGGAGCTGCGCAAGCTGTACGGCGCGCTGGTGGCGCTGGGCGCGGGTTACCTGGTGTCGGCGCTGGCGCTCCTCGCCGAGGTGTCCTTCTACCGCGGCGTCGTCATGCGGCGCCAGGGTTTCGACGTCTACGCGCTGGGCCGCAACGCCAACAGGAACCCCGCCGCCCCCGCGGCCGTCAAGCGCCGTGCAGCTGCCTGAGGGCCTCGCAGCCCCGACATGAGCACCTCGCAGCCCCGGCATGAGGACCTCGCAGCCATGGCCTTCCCTAGGGCTTCGCAGCCCCGGCATGAGGGTATCGTAGCCCCGGCATGCGGGCCTCGCAGCCCCGGCATGAGGGCCTCGCAGCCTCGGCATGAGGGCATCGCAGACATGGCCTTCCCTAAGGCTTCGCAGCCCCGGCATGAGGGCATCGTAGACCCAGCATGAGGGCAGGGCCGCGCAGCCCCGGCCCGGCACCTCTGATCATCTGATCCTCCCTCCCCGGGCTCATCAGCGAGGTGTCCCGGGGGCGTCACCCTCCGCGCAGCGCCGTATTGGCCGGAGACACGGGTCGCGGGCCACTTTGATTCTCGAAGATGAATAATGCATTGTGAGCCTTGTTGGGGGGCAGCGGGGGTGAGCGGGAAGGGCCATGGGAAAGACTGCTCCTCCCCCGCCATTCCCCTTTCTCCTCGCTCGAACTCCTTCCACTCTACCCCTCCCCTCCCCTTCGTGTTTGCCAATGAAATGAAAAGAGCGTCGCCGTCCGTATTATGAATGGGAGCAAACGGTGCTCTGGGATTGACACAGCAAACAGCAGCTAACGGCAGCAGTAACATCTCCATTCGTCAGAAGCGAGCCTTAAAGAGGATCGAGGAGACGCTGTTTGAGGAGTGAAATGACCAGCTCTACGTCCCTCTGCCCGCCCCCGTCTCTCCCTCTACCCTACGCGACCCGACAGCGCTAATTAAGTGGACTGCTGTAATCAAAACCATCAAAGGAGATAGCCTGCCGACTGCCCTGCGAAATAAAAAGAGGGCAACATTGTGAGAGGGAGGGCTTTCCTGGGCCCTCGGGCGATGGGCAAGAGCGTGCTAGAGTCTCTCTCCCTGGTCTGCTCTAGAAATCCATGACGGTGTGTATTGAGCTTAAGGGTTGGGGTTTTAGCCTAACTCTGGTTGAGCCTAACCCTTCTCTTTCTCTCTCTTTCTCTCTCTCTCTCTCCCAGTCTCTGTGTCTCTGTCTCTCTCCCTCTCCCCACACCACTGCACTCGCGGGGATGAAAGGGACTCCTGTATGCCGAGTGTGCGCGGTGTTGTCTGCACGAGCCCGTGTGGCGCGAGACGCACAAGCAATCCGAGCTCTCGCCGTGCCGTGCCCTTGCCGTGCCGCGCAGCGCGCAGCCGGGCCCTGCGCTGTCTGCGCTCGCCTCTCCAACCTGTTTGCTCTGGAGCGCGAGTACAAGAGTACACAACTACGGCTTCTGTAATGGATTCAGAAAACACAGGCGCCGGCGGTGGGCCTCGCGGGGGCGGGGCGGTAACCTCGAGAGCCGGTGGGGGCAGGCCCCTCGGGCGCGCACCCACCGCGCCGCCGCCATCCCCCGTGAACACGGCGACGAGCGACAGCGCGGCCGCACAACGGCCCCACGTTCTGCACCACTCGGCGACTTCTCATAATCAACGTCATCACCATCAACTACACCGTGTCGTGACCGAGCCCGGGCTACCCGTCGTCACCCCTCCACCCCTGGCTCCGCGCCAGACCCCTCCACCGACCTCGTCGCCCCGCAACACCACTCAGCGACGACGATTTCTGTCCCCCTGGGGGTGAACAGCCTCGATTGAATTTGCATCCCTCTCTGGCCCTCCTCTCCGCCGCGCACACCTTGCCCCGTAGGTCCCCTTTCTACCGCCCTTCCCCCACTCTCTCTCTCATCCGCACTCCCTCCCCTCCCTCTCACTCTCCTCAACGAGAGAGCCACAAACCCCTTACCTACCCCACGGTGTCCGCGCGGCTATAGCGACAGGGGACCCCCCCCCCCCTTGGAGAGTGGAAGCGGGACGGGTTAGGGGGGAGGAGGGTGGGGGGTGCCACGCGAAGTGGTGCGGAGACAAACCTAGATCCCCACTCCCCTTCCCTTCCCCTCGTGACAATGGCTTTTCAATTAATTCGTGCTCCTTGCTCTACGCGCTTGCCTCGCCTCACTGCTTGCCCCGGGGGAGTGGAAAGAACAGGGAGGGGGGGTGGGGGGCTTCTGATCAATCGTCGAGATTGAAAAAAAAAAGGCTTTTGGCCTGTGCCGGTGGTACGGGGGCCGACGGCGGTGGCGTCAGCGGGGAAAGGTAGGCTTCAGGCTTGAGCGCGGAGCGGATCGTCCTGGGAGAGGTCTTTTTACACCACCTGAGCACTTCTGCGCCTCGCCGCGCCGGGCTGTGCTCGTCCACTTGTGGAGAGGTCGGCCCCGTCTACCATCGCACCTCGCGGGCGCGGGCGAGACGAACGATGGCGGTGCCGGCGGCTGTGGTTGGTTGGTATGGTGATTGTGGTATTGACAGAGACCATGACGAGAGGAGAGGAGCGGGTTTTGGGTGGGAGAGCGTGGCGGGCAATATTGGCAGATGAAGATAACGTTAATGGAAAACGTGATTATTCCCGAGGAGGGAGAGCCGTCGCCCCTCGCCTCGCCACCGCCGCGGCAGGCCAGCGCCGCGAGCAACACGGAGGCCACCATCCATTCCGTGTACTGCTGCCGGCACCACGCCCCTGCCTCACGAGTGCATGTGTGTGTGAGTGTGTGTTTGTTTGTTGTACTGGTGCGTATGTATGGCGCGCCGCGCAATTCTCCCACGTCGCTGCGACGCACCACATAATAAACAAACGGTGAGGCTGTTGTTGAACCTGAAGACAGGTGTATCTCGCCAGAGAATTTAATTTTCCGGAAAAGTTAAAGTTTTTCGGAAAAAAGTGGTTCTTTTCCGGAATATTTCCCTTAAAAATTTAAAAAAAAAAACAAGTTGTTTTTCAAAATTCTCGTTATTTTTCCTGTTTTTTTTTTCGTTTATTTTCATAACTTGTACTGTTTTTTCCGGCCTTCAAATCTCTAATCCTCCTCCCCTTCTATACCGACCATTTCCTTACCCCTCCTTCCTCTCCACCCCTTTAGCTGGGAGGGTGTGTCCGCGTCAACCACCCGTGTTGCACCGTGGTCAGACGCGGTGGCTCTCCTTGTCGGCGGTCAGCATCACGCGATGTGTGTGTGTGTGTGGGGGGGGGGG